CAGTTGGCATAGCAATAGTTATGACACTCGTGCTCTGTTACTCATCTCCCCGTGAAGGTAACGTGGCAGGAGCCTTCTCACCCCAAGTGACACCTGCCAGGTGTTGCCATGGAGCACACAGAAAAGGCAGCTGGCACACACACAGAGAACAAAGCTCTTTGGAACAAAATGCTGCTTAAAATCAGCTTTTGTGCCGTGGATTCCCACTTCCCCTCAGACAGCTGAGAGTCTCCATGCGACAGCTCCCTCCTGTCTCCCCTTGTTTGGAAAGGTCACTGCTCTTCCCTTCTGGGCCTGTTTTGTTCTGCTGCTCACCCTGACCAAGGATCATTCCAGGGATCTCTGGTCCACCTCGGATTTCAAGGGACCAAAAACTTACAGATGAAATTAGCTGAGCTGTAGAAAGTCAGAAAATATTTTCTGCATAGGCCACAAAACCATAACGTAACCCTCAGCCAAGTGATGTCGTGTGCCTGAGGCCAGCTGCACAAAATATACAATATAGCTCACCAAAAATATGTGCCTAACCACATCAGATAAATCATCTCCTACAAATACCCTTATCCTCCACTCCCTCTGATGAAAGCAGCCACGAATAATGAACTCTGGAGCAGCTGCCTATGCTGTGGACACGGGAAATGTGGGAAGAAGAATCCCAGCTGCAAGAGCTTGGGGTGACAGGATGAGGGGGAATGGCTTTAAACTGAAAGAGAATAGATTTAGATTGAATGTTAAGGAAAAAAATTCTTCTCTGTGAGGGTGGGGAGGCCCTGGCACAGGGTGCCCAGAGAAGCTGTGGCTGCCCCTGGATCCCTGGAAGTGTCCAAGGCCAGGTTGGATGGGGCTTGGAGCAACCTGGGATAGAGGAAAGTGTCCCTGCCACATGCACAGCTTAGCAATAAAAATAAAGCAACAGTGGAAACAGCACTGGAAGAATCTATGCCTTTTATTTATTTATTTCAGAAAAATACTTCTGCTGAGTTTATCACAAAAGTCATTGAACAACGAACAACAACAAACAAAATCCGTACAAAAACTGAAGTGACAGGAAGAATGAAACAAACAGGATAAAATACCAGAGACTGTTAATTCCCCCCACCCCCTCCAAAATCAGGAAATTTGCACTAAAGCATAAATATGGAAGAACAGAAATTGTCCTCGAGTTCCTTTGCTGAAGTTTGATCAGCCAAGTTCAACATTTTTGAGGAAAAACTGCACACCTCTGCCTGGCTCTTCCAACAGCCATTCTTCCCAGGAAAATGCCACACACAGCTCCAAGAACATAGTTCACTGCTGGGCATAAAACTCATTAAACCAACCTTTCATCCCCCATGAAGTTTCCTGGAAGGCTGTAAATCAAACCCCACCATCTCCATCCACTGTTGACACAATCTGGGGTCCATCTACCAAAGGCAAGAGCCTGAGGCTTCTGTAAACTCCCAGGCACTGCAGCAAAGGCAGGGTGGCTCCAAGCTTCCAGAGTCACTTGGAGGCAAGGAAGAGATATCCCAGAGTGGCCACTCTTCCCTCAACCAGGAAGCCTACCAAAAATACTTTTTAAAACACTGAGTTGAGGGAAAGGGGACCTACAGGGGAAGTGGAACTTGGCTACTACTAACCCAAACATGATGAGTAAGAAGAAAGAATCCTAAACAACAACAACAAGAGAAAACGTGACTGTAATGCCCCATAATGTAAGAGTCACTCAAAAACTGTATGTGAAATGCTACATCTGTTCTTCCTCTACCCCTTTCTCTTCCCAAGCCCATTCTCCAACTAAGACAAGAAGAGAGAACTAGTGCTGGTATTTCACAGCTCTTCTAGGCTAGAACAGGAAAACACTACACCCCAAAACCCACAGGCTACTCAATTCCTGACCTCCTTAGGTTGGATAATGGACACAGACTACTAAAGCAGCCTAAAGTCCACAGGAAGGGTGCCAGGAATCATGTCCCACTGGAAGTTTTGAATAATCTCCATCACTTTCTGCACTGTGGTGGACAAGAGCTCTTGTTTGGGGGTGGATCTTGGTGTTGGATTAAAGGTTGGACTTTGACGAGTTTGAAGGCATTTTCCAACCTCACCCAACAATTCCATGATGTTTTCTGCAGATGACACAGGGCTTGACAAGATGGGGCAGGAGAAGGGCTTCCACTAAAGGGAAGTGAGCTCGTGGCATTTCATAGGCAGAGCAGCCAAGGACAGACTGACCACGAAGGGCTTGCAGTGAAAATGCTCCAAGAAAAAGCTCTTTGGGCTGAAAGGAAGGCTGGATCTGCTGAGAAATGACATGGACACAGGAGCAGTTACTGCGGGCTTGCAGCCCAGGGATTGTGTTTGCACTACAACACAGAGATAGGAGCAGCCCATGGCAGCCCCTCTGATGGAGGGGATTGCAAACCTCCAGGATGACAGTGGATATTGCCTCATAACAAAGGCTCAGCTCAAAAAAAACCAAAACAACCTGCCAGGTTTGGGTCTAACAAAAGGATGGGGATTTCTGAGGACTAAATATAGGGGAGGGCTAAAAACAAAAAAAAAAAACCAACAACAACAAAAAAGTCCCATCATCTATAGGTTTAGAAAACCAAAATCGTAAAAAGAACAAATGGAAACGCTTCAAAAACAAATGTCCCTTTTCCTGGTAGCTCTACCAAAAAGAAAACAAAACACACGTAAATGTAGCATATGTTGTACATATGTAGTAACAAAGGAGGGTGTTCAGCTACTGCTATAGTGCAGAGAGGCTACAACATAAGGCACTTGGGATACAAAGCATCACCAGCTATGGAAGAGATAGGATTGTGCAAGTGGAAAAGTTGCCTGAAGCCAAGCAAGCAGGAGGAGGAATCATTCAGCAGCCATGTTCTTGGGGGGCTCCATGTGTAACCTGCTAACAGAGTCAGCAGCTCGGCTGCTGTGAGGCCTGGCCAAGGGTCTGGGGAAGTGCCAGCCAGCAGTTGCTCCTGGAGGGCACTGGCAGTGGATGGGAAAAGGCAGGAGAAAGAAAAAACCTCTCGCACTAGACCCTTTCCATGTCCTCCCCAACATAAAGCTCTTTCCCCTCCAGTCATGCTGCACCACGGGTCCTGTCACTGCCTCTGAGCTAAAAAGTGTTTTATCCTCTCAGCACAGGCTACAAGGAGCAATGGCAAGGTACCACCCAGGGCTCTGCTCCAGCCTCCTTCCCCAGCTGCCCTGAAAACAGGGAAAGCCCTCTCCTGCCAGTATCCCTCCCTGGACACTCAAATGTGAGGATTGAGGAACAAGTGGGATTTGACCAACTGTCCTCGTGTCCCTGCACATTTTCTCCTTCCAGTGCCTCCTCAGCAAGGAGAGGGGGAGGGACAAAAGACACCCAGATAAATGGGAAAAAAACCCAACTCAACTCAAAGAGGGGCAGAAAATCAACTGTCACCCATTCCTCACAAAACACGACTGGCGAGAAGGACAACAGCACCAGTCTCAGGCTGGAATTGCACTCAGAGCCAGAGCTCAGCTGCCTCCGAGGGCTGAGCCAGGGGCACGCCAAGGATCAGTCCTGAACTGCACATGGAGAGCACCCCAGCTCTGTGTCCCTCTCCTCACCCAGCCAAGGGGACACCACGAGTCCCCTGTTCCTGCCGTGGTGAAGCAGAACTAAAGCTACAGCTGACTTCGCTGCACAAGGGGCACCAACAGCAAAGCCCAGCTCAGGAACCGCCCCAGAGCACAGTGTGGGGACAGAGGGGCCACTACTGCTCACCTGCCAAACCCAGCCTGGCGTGGCACCCCAAAAAGAAGCCCAGCGAGATGGCACTCACCCACGAAAGCCCAAGCAGATGCTGCTCCCCAGCAGAGGGATCAAGCTGGTGGGATCTGGCTTTCCACAAAACCTCTTGCCAGCACATGGAGGTGGCAGCGGGCAGGAGCAGGAGAGGAAAGTGGTCTGCAGCAACAGATGGCCTCTGAGGTAGATTTGAGACAACTCCATCTGCCAACAGCTACGTGTCACAAGCCAGGCTTTTCCTAAAATGCAAGCTGCTCCTTGCAGCCTCGACCTCCTTCCCCTTCCTTCTCTGTCATCTCATTCACAGCTCAGAAAGGGATGAAGGGGCTAGGATTTTTGGAAGAAACCCTGGATTTGATAGCACCTTGGGTGGATACAAGCACTGTATCCTTTGGAAAGAAAGAGTGAGGCTGGTGGCTGCTGATGGCACGGCTGGACTGGTACAGTAGGGACAAGGAAGGCTGAGGTGACAGCACGAGGGGCACAGTCCCACTGATGCAAAAACCCTTTGCAGGAACCACCTGGATGTGGTCATGAGCAACAAAAACACCAGGTCCACGAGGCACAGACAAGCTGGGCTGACAGGAGCCAGACCAGTGCTCAGAGCAGAGCAGGACTTAAGGATTCCTGTGGAACTGAGGATGCTGCTGCCCCAGAAGAAAACACTGAAAGCTACAGAGCCCTGGGCCCAGCTCTTGGGGCTGGGAGTCCCAGAACAACCATGAGGCAGCCAAGAGAAAACCAGCTGGGGAAAGCAAAGGCTGGGAGCTGGACTTTCCACATGAAGACAAAGTCCCCTCCCTTCTCTGCTGCCCAGCTCTCAAAAATTCTCAAAAGCAGGGTTCAGAAAACCCCATTTAACCAGAGATCCACCAGGAGACAAGACAGGGCTGAGCTTCCTCCATCAGACCCTGGTGTCTCTTTGCAGCATCACCATCCTGCTGAGAGCTAGCCAGATGTGCCCCCATCTCACCTGAGAGCACCCCTGAGCCTCAGATCTCACAGCCCAGATGTGCCCCCATCTCACCTGAGAGCACCCCTGAGCCTCAGATCTCACAGCCCAGATGTGCCCCCATCTCACCTGAGAGCACCCCTGAGCCTCAGATCTCACAGCCTCAGCACATTCCCCCAGGAATCTGATCCCACAACACACATTTGGTGCCTTCAAGCTGTCGTGGCCCTGTCCCAGGGGCTCAGGGAAGCACCATGAAGAGAGGGGAGGAACATGCTGTAGGAGAAAAAAGGATTGTTTGGAACCATCTATGATACATTTGCAACCATTAACCAAAATAACCGAACGCTAAAATAGAAAAGAGAAAAAAAAAATTGCACGCTGGTTTCTGATCAAACAGAGGAAGGCAAAACCAGGAGGGATGGAGAATGTTCCTGTGAGGGGGATGGGAGAAGGGGAAAGGGGCCTTTTTGGTTTTATTGCAAACGGTTCATGAGAGCAAGAAAGGAAGGGAGGTGAGCGAGAGACACCTTGGGAAGATGATCCCGAGCCTTTCACGACGCCACTCGTGAGGAGCAGGAGGAGCTGCTCAGTCCTGGTATCTCGCCCTCCTCCCCAGGAGACAACTCTTGGCTTCTAGGGAGACTTGAGCTTCTTGGTGCGAGGTGAGGTTCCGTTCTCTGCTTTCACCACTCCGTTTTCATGGTAACCTGGGATGGCAACAAAGGAACACGGAGCTGGTGAGGGGTCTAGAGGGTAATCTGAGGGAATTGGGGGTGTTTAACTTGGAGAAAAGGAGGCTCAGGAGGGACCTTTTCACTTGCCACAACTCCCTGACAGGAGGGTGCAGCCGGGTGGGGCTCTGCTCCCAGTGAACAAGGGTCAGGACAAGATGAAACGGCCTCAAGCTGCCACAGGGGAGGTTAAGGTTGGACATTAGAAGGAATTTGCTCACAGAAAGGGTAAATAAACGTTGGAATAGGCTGCTCAGGGAGGTTTGGAGTCACCACCCCTGGAGGTGTCCAAAGAATTCAGCAGTCTGATCTGGTTGACACCATGGTGATTGGTCAAAGATTGGACTCCATGATCTCAGAGGTCTTTTCCAACCTAAACCATTCTGTGATTCTATGGAGAAAGAAATTTATCCCTTGCACAAGCCAAACCCTTTATCCTCTCAGGACTCATTGACATGGGGAAACCATCATGACATCAGAACACTACTGGGGACACCCTGCACACAAGCAGCAGCCTGCTGGGGGGATGCTGAAGCCCAGGACTGACACCTCCACAGTGGCACCCTTGCAGCACTCACCCGAGTCCCTCTTGAGCAGCTTGGTTTGCTGCTTGGTGCCGGCGGCGGCGGCGGCTCGCTTCCGACTGCTCTGCTCGTGCCAGTATTCCCTCCAGCGCCGCAGCTGGAAGTGGATGAAGCGCCACATCACCGAGGCCTGGAAGAGGCACACCAACAGCAGCACACTCATTCTGCCAGGGGCGGAGAAGAGGCAGCCTGAGAACACAGCAGCGAGGCCACCCCCAGCCTGGCCTTCCCCCCACACCGGGCACGGTGGCCGAGGTCCCCCCGCGTGGCAGATGCCATCCCTCCAGCCACCATCTCTGCTTTCTGCCACCCCTGAGCCCAGAGCAGGCACCTTCCTTTCCTCCACACCATAAAGCCCTCAGGTTTTGATTCACTGGTTCTTTCAATTTTAGGGCAGGAATGGATAAAGAGGATCATCTCAACCAGCACTGCCCAAACCACAACGTGACACAGTCAAGGTATGATGTCCCCGGATGATCTAAAAGGTGGAAGGGAGCCAAGAAAGACCCTCAAATCCTCAGGTGTGCCAGCAGTCCTTGCTTCAAGAAGCTTGGGAATGACCATGCCTAGCAAATTCTGAACTGAACCCACAACTGCTGCAAGGGTGAGAAAGGCTCCCAGACTTGTCAGACTGCAAGGCATGAGGAACCCATTCCACATCAACAGGCAGCAAAACATGGCAAAGAAGAAGGGAAAATGCCTTTTCCTTGTAAATGCACTTACAGGTACAACAGGGAGCAAGCAATTCTCCAAGATAGGCTTGCACTTTATAACTTCACTTGATTAACACTTTATTTCCTGACGTTTCCTCTCCGTTTTGGCTCTGTGTAGCCTTGAAATCCCTCCTTGCTTCCTTCACACCCCCTTCAGCTCATTAAGACCTTCTCTAAATGGAATCAGGATCAGATCCCCACTGTCTGGATCCCATTTGGATACAGCTTGGAGCAACCTGGTCTAGTGATGGCATCCATGTCTACGGCAGGGGTTGGAACGAGATGATCTTTAAGGTCCCTTCTAATCCAAACCACTCTGGGATTCCATGATTTCCAAACTCAGCAAAACCCACGCTGGGATAACACAACCAAGGAAGACACAGGAGACATTCCTACCTGAAGAGGATATTGTTGAAGAGGAAGCTGAAGAAGTTCCCTCTCTCAGGGTCCAGGGCCTGGCTCTCCACTCGTGGCAGCCCGAAGCCGATGACCAGGATGTACAAGGTGAGGGTGAAGAGCCTGGTGACCACGAACACGACAGCCCAGACATTAAACCTGCAGGAGGGCAAGCAGAGGTGTGGGCAGGAGCAGCCCCAGGGCTGACCCAGGGGGTGAGAGCAGGACCCAGGCTCTCCTGGGCTCCAAAGGAGGATGGGAGGCACAGGCAGCTCCCCTGCTTACAGCTTCTCATTGTTCTCGTCCGTGAAGTAAACCAGCCGTGCCATGTGGAAGAAGAACTCGGCCAAGTACTGCAACAGCAACAGGATCAGCCCCAAGCGGGTTAAGCTGGCAGGGAAGAGGAAGAAAAAAGGATCACTGAGCTGGCAAGTCTTCATCCTTCAAACCCAGCTACAGCCTCAGCCCTGCTGTCCATGAGCTGCAGTGCCAGCCCAAAGCCAGACCTCTGTGCAGCAGTGGGGGTAGGACTGCAACAGGGGAAATCCCCGTCTACAAAACATCAACACAGTCCAAAACAGCAGCAGAGATGAGATATATCCAACACAAAACATTATGGCTGGCAAGGCTGCTCTGCTTTTTATCAGAGAATGGTTTGGGTGCGAAGGGACCTTAAATCTCATCATCTCATTCCAACCCCCAGCCCTGGATATCTTCCACTGTCCCAGGTAGCTCTAATGCCCATCCAACCTGGCCTTGGACACTTCCAAGAATGGGAAACCCCCTGAACAACCTGTGCCAAGTGCCTCACCACCCTCACAGGCAAAAATTTCTTCCCAATATCCAAACCTCTCCTCTTTTAGTTTAAAACCATCCCCCTTGTCCTATATACCTGCCTAGGTAAAAAACTACTCTCTATTGAAACAGTCCCATTTATTCTTTCTAAGCCTTTCACCCCACTGAGGATTCCCAGGTGACTCCCACGGCAAAAGAAGCTGCCCAGCCCTCTCCCTGGTGAGGGAGGGAATGCTGAGATGCTGAGGCAGGTGACTCACTTGAGCAGGTAGGCGCCGGTGATGTGCAGCAGGTAGAGCGTGATGCAGCGCAGCTGCCGGGGGATCTCCTCCTGGCAGAGACAGAAAAGCCAAATCAACCTCTCAGCCCTCTCCACCCACCCTCTCACAGAGCTCCCTCTCTCCCAAAACCTCCACCTGGCTCTCACCTTGCGGACTTTTTGGAAGTAGAGCTCAGGCAGGGCGTGCAGCCAGTACGCCAGCTGGCACAGGTAGAAAAACTTCACCTGGTACCTGAAATACAGGGAGGAGCCACATAAGCAGGTCCACGGCAGGACCCTGAGAACCTGAGTGCCAGGGCAGCATTGGGCATCCCTCCACTGTTTTGGGGCCATGAGATTTAGGAGAAATAATTTCAGGGCTGAAATTATTTGTTGAGCAGAGAGCCAAACATGAACTTTATCCAGATGTTTGTGCTGTGGTCTCTGTGCTCTCAGAAAATCTCATTTTTGTAAAAAAAAACAAGAAGGAAGGATCATCCCCCACTACATTTCTGCTGTGAAAAATGAACAGCAAAGAAGCTTTCCCAAGGTGATGCAGGAAACATGCAGGATGAGTATTCTTGATGAAACCCTCTGGAACACCCTCCCCAGGCTCACAAATAAGATATCCCCATTCCCCATGGTCTCACTGCAGCATCCTTGCTGCAGGGTGCATGAAGGGTGCTGTGCTGTCAGCTCCCCACTCCCAGCAGGCAAAACCATGGAGAGGAAGGAAGTGGCCAGCCCCAGAACAAAATACCCTCCCAAGTGCTTACGGCAGATAAACATGTGGGTAGTTTTCCCACAGACTCCGGGGGTTTGAAATGTATCCTTCCTGAAAAAGAGAAGAGAGGCAAGGCTTCAGCAGAGCAAATCAGGTTATGAGAGGGTGGGCTGATGGTACAGTGAAACAAGGAACTGGGGATGACATTCAAGTCTTGTCACAGCCTGAAGGAAAAAACATGTTCCCTGTGAGGGCCAAGGCTCAGCTCTGGATCTGTGGGTCTCTAGCACCCCTCTAAAATATCACCAGGCCCCTTGTCTGGGGGCTGAAGGCCGCTTGCTCAGTTGCACAGAGCGTCCCCAGCTCAGGAGAGGGTATTTTGGGGTTTGGAATGCTCTGGAGGTCCAGGGGTGAGATTCCTGTAGCATGGCTCAGGGAGCCATGTGTATGGTCCAGAGGCTTCTTCCCCACTGGCATTTCCAACCCCAGCAGCACTTAAGCAACAAGAAATGCTTCTGAAGAGAGAGAGGAAAAGAAATCACCAACAAAAATAACTGGATATGAATTGGACAGTTTCATTTTCCACCTCTTGCCTTACAGGATGGGACTCCCTTCTCACTCCTGCCACACATAAGCTGCCCTGGGCTTTGCAAGGAGAT